GTAGATTTTGGACGACCGAGCTACCTTAAATAGAACGGATTTGGTACAATCTGAAGCCAATTATGAACCTCATCAGGGTCTTTCACATTACCTATGGTGGGGAACTCAAATTCATATACCTTAAATAATTCTAAAAGTTGGTATACAGGATTCACTAAATTGTTATAGTCTTGACGGGTATAAGAACAAGATGCTATGACATGGGAGCATGGACACTTCAGAGTTTGAAAAAACCCACAGTCACACCACCTATCTTGTAGATTAACTCTGAATGAGTTAGCTTGAATACCTTGAAGAGGTCGCGGCATCTCTGTGACACGAAATAATTCATGGGTTCTAGAGAAGATTGTTATAAACATTCCATTTGATGCAACAATTCTTTTTTGTAGATCTGCAACTAATCTTGGGTGATAGAGACCGTTTTGCATCCAAGTTTGAGTTTGTACCCCGAGCTTGGCAAAAAGTGCTCTCAAACGAAAATATATCGTTTTAACCAAAGTCGTTACTGGTAAATGGTGTGCCACCTTTAAGGTCGAATTGATAGCCTTAACCAAGTTGGTTGTCATGTGTCCATATCAATATCTACTATCATATGCATTTATCCACATTTGTTTGTTGATGAGGCTGATGTAATTGTATCATTTCTCGTTATTTCCTTGTAAATATTAAAGCATGAACTCAAATGTTTCAGGTAATAGTTCGTAACCTGAACATTAAATGTAAAACTTATTGTTAAGTTTCCATAAAAAAGTGAAAATGATTGAGAAATAAAATTAGGCATTTTGACATACTCATGCGCACAAGTAATTAGCGCTCATCATTCTTTTGAACTTTCCATGATAGTTAGCAACAATGTGTCGGATACGGTATTGATTTTGGACATAAGGTGGTTGCCACATTGGACCCAAAGAATCCAATGCCGCTTTGATCCCAGCTCCGCGATATGAAAGACACAGATTTTTTCCCTCGTTACAATATGTATGCGTAAGTTCCTGAGGAAAAAAGCCCAAAAATCTATATCTTTTCCTTTAACAAGGGTAAAAGCAACTGAAAGAATGTTGCGATTAAAATCTTAGACCACTATCAATAGTAAAATTTGCTTGTATTTTTCGTACAAGAATGTCCCATCGATTTGGAACAAATGTTGGCAGTATTTCAAAACATTAATGTAATGTGGGTAAGTCCAAAAAACCTGGTAGAATTAGCATCGATCGTGAAGCACTCGATCATTGTGGTATGCATGACAAGTTTTGAAGTCAAAAATTGTCACATGATTCAATTTGCACACTACCCTAAACCAACTTGGTAGTTCATTGTAAGATGCATCCCACTCGCCGTGAAGTTTTTTAATGGCGTTATGCTTTATCTTCTATGTTTTCTTGTATGATACATTGTACTCATATTGCGATTGTATAGCTGAAATCAACATCATAATAGCTATATAGGAGCTTGCTTTGACCATGAGAATGATGGCTTGGCAGATAATGTCGGAGTCTAAGTTGAGATGATCCTGATTGATCCCTTTAGCACAACATATGTGAGGATTGTTGTATACAGTCAGTTCCCATATATTATTTTTCCCATTTCTCTTTGATACACGAACCATCCAGTTACATCAGTTATTACATTGGACACAGTGATACACATACTTTTCGATGGTGGAATGGTCGACTCTATAATGAATAGAATTACAAATGTTGTAATTCTTAATTGCCATCATCACTTCTTCTTTCGATGGAAACTTCATTCATTTATATAACTCACCATCATTGACTGATGAGTTAAATCCGTAGTCACAAACATTAGGCATATTCGAAAATTCTGGCCGTACATTGCACCATAATAAGCTTCATACATATGTGCTGGAGGTTTGGTGTGTACCGTATTTTTGTGGGAACTTTATCTACATCATCATCATCGAAGTCCATGTTGAAGTGCGGTGATTCTGGCTAAACGAATAGTCCAGCTCAGCATCATCCATACCAGGCTAATGAAGAGGTTCTTCTAGTGGAGATGAGGGTTCCTCATAGATGCCGACATTTAGGTTGAACAAGTTGGTAGTTGAATGTTTTCCCCTTGAACTTGAAGGCATATCAACATTGAGGTTGGAGAAGCTCGCAGTTGAATGCCTCCCCCTGGAACTTAAAGGCATTGTGTCAAATGGGTATTGCATAGATTGTTGCATCGATGGCATCTCCATATTCATGTCAAAGAAATTGGCAGATCAATGTCTTCCCCTAGATTTGGAAACGATGTTGCCATACAAATTATTTGTGGAGCCACCTCAGTATAGATCGTAGCAAGTTGCTAATGAATGCCTCTCTATTGAACTTGATGGGATGACACCATGATGTGGATTTCTCATTAATGAGTTAAATTTATTACACATTACTTGAGTTGGTTTGTCAACTTGATCAGCTTGTTGAGCCAGCCCATAGTGGGAACATGATGGCATACCACGAATCACAAGTATTTTAACAAATATCGCATATATCTGTGTATTTACGTCTGAATATTAATTCTGAGAATCAACCATCATAGCAACATCGTCATCGTTGGAGAGTTTGAACGATGTATAAGTTAACAGAAATATTACGATTGGAAATCTATACTGAAGTGAAGACAGTCTTCTAATACTTCCAACACGAGCCTTCCTTGAAATTTTAATGATTAGCTCCTCAAGAGTGATGTTTCTTTTGAAGGATATTCTGACAGAATGATTTGATGCGAAGACGACACCAGTTTCATCTTCCCAAATTTTCCATCATAGTAAACAATAGTTGAAATACGTGTCATTTTGAGAGTTTGAAAGATTGAGAGTCTTATATCTGAAAAAATAATAGTTGAAATACGCCTAATTAAATAAATAGTATATGAATTAAAATATATACTAATCAATTTTTTTTAAAAAAATCACAATAATTTAAATAACACAATTCCATATTGTTACTGTATCGGTAAAATGTCCCGAGATATGATATCGCTTTTCAATTTTACAACCGTAAAAAAATAATATAAAATAATTAGAACAATATAATTTGTTCAAATAATTAAATATAATATAATAAAAAATAATTTTACCTTATAAAAACAATAACAAAATCTACTTAGCTTGATAGAAGGAATTAATAGAAATGAGAATAAGTAAGTAATTTTGATGTGGTGATGTTTGCATTCAGAGGGATTGTTATTTATAGGGGAGGGGGAGCGTTTAAAAATCAAGTTTTCAGGCTCGGGAAATAATAGAATACCAATAATTCAACGTACATAATGGAAGGCGCGTATCATTATTCGCGTCTTTCGTACGTGTCAGAACCCCGTGCAGGCGTGAATCTTTGTGCAGACGTGAATGAAGATTCACGCCTTCCCTTACACGGCTTCAGTTCAGATAGAACCTTGCGAAGACACGAATAACGATCTACACTTTATTGTCATCGTGTCATAAAGAGTGTTAGATCGATAATATCTAGAAATGACTATGACAGCAGTCTCACATGCATCTGGTGGTCCCAATAGAACCCCATCATGCATACAACAGCCACGTAAAAAGCCTCGTCACCAACAATAGTCCTCTCCCTCTACACCTGCAAGTCTCCAACTGGTTCTCCAAGCCCCATCAACAGCCTTATCAACAAACCACACGCATAAAAACAAAAAAAAGTGACATGTGAAGAGAAAAAATATTTTTTTATTTCTATTGTAACTCCAAAACAAAAGGATTTTTAAAAACCTTTTCCAAAATTTGTAAAAGGGGACTTCCCCCCTTTTTCGGAAGAAACAAGGTAAACAGGCTCTCCATGTGTTCTTCCTCATTTTTTTCGAAACACAAGTGTAATCACCATCTTTTATATATATTCATTATTATCAAATTATTTTAAATTACGATAAATTAATAAAATATATAAATTTTGAGATTAAAACTATTATTGTATAAAATTATGTTAGACTTGAGTCTCATGGAATGAGAAACAGAGTGATTGAGCTGTCAAGTGTCGCATAATAGAAAGCCTTGTCCACAAAATTAATATAAGTGATTTTCTTCAGAAAAATAAGTGTTTTGCAGATCTCACACCAAATATGGACTGGACGTTTTCCCCTTCTGATTATTCAAAGATATTTATTAGATTACACTGCAAAACACAATCCTTTTTGCCTGCAGAAGACCAACAATAAATTTTAAATTTGTAATATGTTAATGCATTTTCATCGTGTCATAATTAATCACTTTTATTTTTATTTTGTTTAAACTTAATCATGTGAATTTTTAAAAATATATATTTCGATTACTATATGAATTTTACTTTAATTTTATTTAAACTTAAATAAAGTCGAGATTTTCACCAATTAAATTTATGCTTTTCTTAATTTACTCAAGATTTTCATTTTCATTTAATGGATAAAGTACACAAATGATTCCAACTATAATATATTTCTTTATTGAGTTATTTAATTATTTAAAGTTATAAAAAAATATTTCGGTTATAAGATGTTATTTTGTTAAGTCTCTCAATTATTAAAAATTATAAAATTATCTCCTGATTATTCATATGTTTCAAATTTATCATTTTCCGTGAAAAATTGATAATTATCAGAATTAAACATTAACTTATTAACTAAGATATAATAACCATTTAAAATTTTAAGATCAAATTTTATTATATATCAATTAACATTTTGAAACAATCATTAGTCGAAGCATTTTAAAAAGTACGGTGGCTGCGCATGCTTTTTTTTTTCCTTTTTCTTTTCAATTTGAGTTTTGAAAAGCTCATCGAGGATGACATTTGACCCAAAAATGACCAGAGTGACAAATACTCGAGTATTTGTTATAAAAAATATATAATCAAACATGAAAATAAAAACTGGTTCTTCGCAGATAACACATTCGAATAGACAAATACTCATACCTGACACAACTCGAATAACAAAAACACCCAGATAACCAAGTCTACAAAGAAGATCAAATACAACATTCAGATATAGCAAGAATCAACAAAGTGAGTGATGGAGCTGTTAGCCACATACAAAGGGTACTGTAGTATTAATATTTCACCAATCACCACATTTTGACTTGCAGAACAATTAACAAGAACCAGCATGCGTCGCCACCAAAGATTCTTTTTCTATACAGAATTACATGTCAAACGAACCCAGACATGACACAAGAATTTACAACAGATTAGGACGACGATGCTGTTCGGTTTTACAACTGATGATGTTCTAGCAACTCAAAAGTCCCAGCTATGGATGTCATGATAACAACTTGGTCTGATCTTCAGGAAGAAAAGCTACCTTCCAATGCTCTTAATATTGCGGCCGTATCGAATTTAAAGTTTCTGAAGCTCTTTCCAGGACCGGTGTCGGGTGGCTTGGCTTCGGATGGAAGCTTATTAGATTGGCTCTCTCCAATCATTGAGTTACTTCCTACGGAAGTGTTCTTTGCTTTCCAGATAGAGACTCCTTAACAATTTGAAAAGCAACCCATCACAAAACACAAACTAAAATATCTCCATGGTACATGGATCTTTAGAGAACATATCGTGCTAAATCAACCAATCAAAATGCAAAATTATGGATGATTTATCAAAATATCATATGAAATCCAAAGTAATAACATAAGGCTGTCAAAACTTTATGCGTCGAACTTCAAAGGTAGACTAAGATAAGGCCAGAATGCAAAATCAAAGAAGTTGAGTTAATTAATGACAGAACTAAGTACTTAAAACACAAACCAAACAAAGATATGTAAGGCTCAAATCAAGCTCCTATTTGTGTTTTTAAATTGCTTGGTTCAAACATCTTAAATAATATGCTATTTGATCAGATTATCTGTCAAAACTCAAAATCCGCAATGAGGCAGAAGTTTATGTGATCCAGCTACGAGTTATAATATCATTTTTCGTTCCAAACCAACCCATAGGTCACAGAAAAAAGAGAAGAAAAATATTTAACAAAAATTCCAATACGACGCTACTGCTGCTGGCTTCGGAGTAGATATGATCATATCTAAATTTTCGCTAATCACCCATAATCCCTCTAGTAACAAAAGCACTGTTGGAGATCAAAAGAACAGATTTTATTGTTTTACTTTCTTGAACTACCTTTGTATAAAGCCTAATACTAATTCTCTTTCAAAATTAAGGAAAGGGAAAAACCTTTTAGTGGCAAATCTGGTCTTGGAGGTAGCGGGGATGGATGCTTTGAAATCCATGACTTCAGAGATCTGCATAAAAACATCATATATGACCAATTTACCCAACAATGTAAAAACATTTGAAAATTAATCATAATGTAATAGCAAAATACTCACGCTAAGAAGGGTGCCACCATATAAAGCTTTAGGCCAGTGATCCCACGAGATATTACTTCATTGGTTGCTGGCTGAAGATCATCAAGCCGGTGCCAAGCAATTTCCTGCAACGATGCCAAGCCGGCTGTCAGCATTTTTTACTTTTAGGAGATGCATTGTCTCAAATATCTTCTCCATCACTTGCAACGGCAGTTTTCTAAAGGTCTCCTTTAATTTTCTTCATTCCCATGAGGAAGCCAAAGAACAAGTAATGAGAGGTAATGCAAATGTCTGGCATCTATTGTTGACAGGTACTAATCATTATAAACAGCGCAAATGGGGAGTTTCTTGACAATTGATCATTCTAAACACAAGTTAAATGGATATATGCTCTGAACTTGTGAGAAAAACAGCAACTACATATAGAAGGACTGCTTAAAATTAGACTTCTATCAGGGCATTGATCTTATCAACAAAAGAAACACATACACTGATCTCCTTTTTTGTAAGTGGGGCAAAGGCTGTATCATCCTTTACACCAGCAATTACATAAAGCCGCACCCTCTGCTGGCCAAATATCACTTCGATGTATTCATCTTTGTTAAGGAGAGCTGAAACATCGAAGCCTGTTTCTTCTAAGACCTGTATTTTCATTGAATGTACATCAACAATCATATATAGAGAAAGAAACGAGAGGTAAAAGAAGTCAATGACTAATTTGTAGTTATCTGGATTCCCTTATCACCAGAAACTGGATACTTCTTTTTGGTAGAGCAACATCAACTCTTTAGTTCTCTAAACAAGAAGGGAAACATGCAATGAATAAATTACAGTTAATAATTTACATATCCATTGGCTCCATGCCAAATGAAGTTCAATGACAGGTTTAATAGAGAGATTGTCAACCCTGCTCCAACTTCTACTATTGAGAGGTGAATGAACAGACACAAAAGCTAGTTAATAAAATAATGTACGTTCCACATTTCTTTTGCAGCTACATCATTTACAACTAGAAAGCAAGATCATTCTGACGTAACCATTGATTCTATAGCCATCTGCAGAACCAGAGAGCAAGACCATTCTGACGTAACCATTGATTCTATAGCCATCTGCAGAACCAGAGAGTAAGACCATTCTGAAGTAACTGTTAAATCTATAGCCATATGCATTACCTAGTAGAGTCTAATACTGCTCTCTGAAGAGCTCATACAACACAGGATAGATCATCTTGTGTGCAAAAGATTAAACCATCTATCAAAAGAAATACATTTCCAGTCTGATTCTTTAGGAATCAGTTTCGATCTGTACACAAAAAATTAGTTAATAATAATAAAACTGAATCCACGTGAAATAAGCTTACTTCTCGAATGGCACATGCATGGTCCTCCTCATCTTTGTTCTTCTTTCCACGTGGGAAACTCCAGCTTGTCCCTTTCCATCCTTTCACTAGGATGCACTATTAAATGCAGAAAAAAAAAACACAAGTAAAGACAATCTTAGAATAAAAGTTCACTAATTAACATCAAGTCATCAACAAAGATGACAATCCAACAAAATGTTATACAACTTGAACTCAATTGCAAAGAATAGCTTCCCTTGAGTTCAATCAATTAAAAAACAATATTTGGATGAAAAAACCCAAGGAATACAGATGCACTAACAGAAAAATCTATGATAAATTATCAAAAGATTGGAATTTTATGGAAAGAGTGAAGAAGAGGAATTGAGAGAGAGAGAGAGAGAGACAGAGAGAGAGAACAGGAAACTTCTCCTCTTAAGCACAAATACATGAATATCTGTATCTGATGTGTATTAAGAGTGTTAAAGTTGAGCATCATGAAGTCAACTTGTTCAACTGGCTAAAGAAGGGGGCATAAAAGTGGCATTTACAAAAAAAAAAAAAAAAACTAGAGAGGTCAAAGGACTTCTTGTTTTTATATAGCAAAAGGAAGAGACTGACCCGTTCATATGTTTCATCCAGAATAATTGCCCCAGTTACAGGAACTCGAACCTTGTAATCAGTGAAATCTTTAAAGATATCATCTACATGAGCAACGTAAGGCCTTAAAACATCGCAGTTGTTAAACACTGGAACAAGTTAAGGGAATAGAGTTCTTTTTTTCTTGGAGAAGGAAATAGAGAATATAGACAACAGAGAAATAAAAAACAGACAGTGCTAATAGCATGGTATCACAAAAAGAAGTCGGAAACTGCCATAATGATAGTCTTCCAACAGTAAAATAAGATGTCAAGTAAAAAAATTCTAGACTTATGCTACATTTAATAGCATAAACTCTAACCTTTAACTTGGAACTTATTAGTATAAGCTCAACCTCAAACTCCCAGTTATAAAATAATAACAGTAAAGATTAAATGAGATAGAAGTTAAGATATTTGTAATCATAACATAAACTAGGGGAGTAAATCAACTATAATAACTACAATGCTATGGACCAATCCAAACTTTTGCCTGTGTAGAGCTCACAAAAATATTATGTGGATTGTGGAACCCATGCTTTTAAGTGGTGGACGTCTAGTGCTAGCAACACATTATACAACAGAAAAGAGGCATCAGATATAGGATACATAGAGAGGTGAACTCCTTCAGACTCAGTGACTTCAGCGATGGATTTTTTTCCACTGTATTGTCTTCATAGAACCAGTGTGCATACTCCACAAGGAAGAGAATTCTCTCAAATGACTGTTGATCCTCTTTCGGCACATTTAAAACAAACCGACTGCACAACAATTATTAGCACTAAGCTTTAGATAAAGTCAGAAGGGGAAAAGAGTAAAATAGAAATGATCAAGAGAGAAGAGAGACTACTTCCCTAATCATGGAAGTGGTTTTAATGCCATGATGATACTCATTCAATATAAAAATTTATGGTAGTAAAATCATACAAACAAACTATCAGCCAATAATTGGATCATACCAGTGAAACATGAAAAACAAATTTCCTAGCAAGAAAACCAATTTCCTTAGTGTTTTGCAGGTTTGATGAGAATAAATCCAGTGAAAAACTGGCATACAACTACTCAAAGAATAATTAGTAGGAAAAATTCTATTGTGTTATACGTGGTCAGAGATGATATACCTGGAACACAATCTAACATCCAAACATTCTTGAGCTTATACCTTACACTTAACTGATTAGCCCCGCATAAAGGCCACAGCTACTTGGGAAAAAGGAATTATTTTGACTCGACGTTCTCCTAAAGTCTTTAGTCTAAAGAACGAACACAACAGTTTTCTCATCCCTTGTGCATGGTTCAGGAGATAGGAACTGATTCCATAGATCACTGTAGTTCCCCAATATAATTTATTCATCTTTTTATAAATAAAAAGATTTTATATATAGCTAGAGTGACCCTCGACTAGCAACTACTAGTTTGTTAATACAATGTGCTCAACAGATAATGCAAAGGACCGTGCTTCCAAATCATAATAAGTGCTAAAGCACTTCAATTAAGAATTCCCGATAGCAAAATGTGCCATAAAACGGTGAATAATGCCTCGGGTTGGGTGTGGGACATCCAAATGAGAAGGAACTTGGCTGATTGGGAAATTGAACAGTGGCTGCAGTTGATCACTATGTTGAATAATACCTCCCTTTTTCCTGCTGAAGATGATTGTTGGATTTGGTTAGGGAATGGGGAAGGAACTTTCACAGCAAAGTCTTGTATAAACTCTTTCTTTGACCAAGGTCGTTTTGAGCAGAATCATGTGAATTGGGAAAAGAATATTTGGACAGGTTTAGCTCCTCCAAGGGTGGAAATGTTTGTTTGGCAATTAGTGCAGCAAAGTGTACCGGTTAAAGAGGAGTTAGCTAAGAGAGGTGTTGCAGAGATTGTTGATCAGCTCTGTGTTTTGTGTGGTCGGGAGGTGGAATCAGTTTCCCATTTATTTCTGCATTGCAGGGTTGTGTGGGGTATGTGGTCTTCCTTCTTGAAAATGTGGAATGTGTCATTGGTGATTCCAAAGTGTACCATGGACCTTATAATTTTGTGGGATGATTTTATGACTAACTCTTTGATTTGGAAATTCATTCCTAGGGCAGTGACGTGGTCAGTCTGGAAATGTAGAAATGAGATTATCTTTCAGAAAGGAATGGTCAGATTATCCTTCATTGTTAGATTTAGAGTGGCTTCCTGGTTTAGTGCTCATTTCAAGGATGTGGGCATTCCTTTAGATTCTCTAGTAGGTGATTTGAAACTTGCAGATTCGGCAGGCAGATCAGGAAAGGGTTGCTATCAATCAGCTTGCTTGGTTCCTCCACCGGATGGGTTTCTAAAGTTAAATGTTGATGGAGCGATGGTTTCGGGGTGGAAAAAAGGAGGTATTGGTGGTCTGATTCGGGATAGCATTGGACTATTGCTACAGTGGTTCTCTGAATCAGTAGGGGGTGGTCCTCCTATCTTGGCAGAGTTGTTGGCAATTAAAAGAGGGATTTGTCTTATGGAGGAGTTGGATTTTGTCCCAAATCAGAGATTTATCGTGGAATCAGACTCATCTAACGCTCTGAAGTGGATCCAAAATCTGGGTTTAAGCCCCCTTTGCATCTATCCTTGGTGAAGGATATAGTTTCGAGTTTGACTGGAAAATATATTATATTTAGGCATATTTTGAGGGCAGCAAACTGGGAAGCTGACAAACTAACTAAAGATGGGATAGGGTGATTTTTGGGTTATATGATCGTGTTGATTAGCAGGAATTGTATTTTCCTGTTTGTTAGGTGGTTTGTTTTAAGTCTTATGTTCTTCAGTTGAAAATTTAGGAGTTTGTTCAGTCTTTGTAATTTGGCTCTTGTGAATAAAAGTTTCTTGGCACTCTTTTCCTCCTCCTTTGATCCGTCATGTTACCTTCATAACATGGCAGGGCTTGAAGGAGGTTTTAATGAGGCCTACTTTCTATAAAAAAAAATGTGCCATAAAACTGGGTTTATTTTGCATAATTAGTCCATTCGCCGCCACTAGTAATAGCAAGCACCTTCGAAACAGGCAGTCTCAAACAAGGAACATAAAAATTCATGTGCTAATAAACCTAACTTAACAATTAAACAGCTTAATCCATCTTCTTCTTCTATAACCAAAAGAAAAACCTAAACTACTCAAAATAAACAAAAAATTAGAAATTAAACACCAAAATCTCTGGGGGGAAAAACAAAAGTGACACCTGCAAAGATCGTCAAGAAGCTCTTGAGGAGGAAGACCGTTCTTTAATGGCGCGCTCGAAGACCGATGGAGACCAGACATAGCTCTTTGCTATTTTTGGAAAAGGAAAAGAAGGGAGAAAAAAAACTACCAAAATCCTAACCCTAACTAATTTTTAGAGAAAGATCCGGAAGATACTAGAAAAATGTTCAAATATTACCGAAGTTCTCTTGGTTTTCTAAGGATATCGGAGATGGAAAAGGTAGAAAGAGAGGTCCCGCCAGCCGCCGGGATCTCTCAAGGGGATGGTGAGTGTGACCTGAAAATTAACCGTTTCTCCGCCTGCCTCTCTGGAAAATAAGTGACCTTTTCGTGGATTTTGGCGTATTTATATGACCCGTTTTGGAGGTTGATGAACCGGATTTGAATTACGGGTTGAAGATGAAACTAGATGGATATTATAGAGGCATAATGTGAAATTAGTACCGATGTTTATTAAAATGGTAATTCTGATTTTATTTTTATTTTAAAGTATTTTAACTTACGATATTTTATTTTAATATAGAAAGACTCTTTAATATAGAAAGACTCTTCTTCTCCCGGTGTTTCTCATGATTCATTAGTTCCCAAATTTGGTAAAGATTCTGTCTTTAATGGGCGTCTTTTTTAGGATTTTTTTGATGTTTTTTTTGACAAAAATGGGGTTTTGGTGTATGTAAACATGTGGATTTGATTGTTCATGAATTTATTGGAATTGGGTGTTTTTGCATTGACCTTGCCTATTGCTTGATTATATGTGTACTATTGGCAATGAAATTGGTACGATTAGAGGCCATAATTGTTGGAAATGTGGATGTTGTTCATTGTTTGTTTGGTTTATTTGTGTGCAGGAGCATGTAGAGCTACTCAATTCATCGATCTCTTCCCGATCGTGTCTCCCGATATTGTTGTTCGGGAGGCACGGTTAGAGGACTGCTGGGAAGTGGCCGAGACTCCCTACAGCTCTTTATTTCCCGAGTATTCCTTCCCGTTGGATTTCGTGCTACGAGTTGATAGACTGGTGGCAATGCTGTCCGGATTCTCGATCCCGCCTGGTTGCAGGAGAACTTGATTGGTTGCCGTCATCAGTGGTTCGGTGGACGACACGTTTTTTATTGGAGCTGACGATTTCAAAGTCCGTGGTTTCGATGGGAAATTTACTTAGCAAAGGTTATGTGACTGGTATATTAACCGTCGATACCGTTGCTGATTATCTTCCTAGAAAAGGACCACTTCGACTGAGAAGGTGATTTTACTTACTTTACTAGTTTAATGTCATTTAATGCTTCGACATGCCGGTTGAAATTTACTCTTAACCGTTAACTACTTAATCTGCAAGATGTCAATGTCCTAAAATTTTTGGTTCTATGTTTGCACAAATGCAGCTCATCAAATTTACCATAGCTATCTGGTCACCCTTTAATGTTTTCAATAAACAACACTTTGTCTTCGAAAGTTGTTAACGACTCCGAAAGTCGTTAATAAATGACACTTGAGAATCTTTATTGTAGGACTGGAATTGCATACATATCAAATGTTGCAGTTCCGGAGAGATTCCGTCTGAAGGGAATAGCTAAAAGGCTCATAGCCAAAGCAGAAGCCCAAGCAAGGAGCTGGGGCTCCCGTGCTGTTGCTCTGCACTGCAACTTGAACAACCCCGGTGCCACAAAACTGTACAAAGACCAGGGTTTCAAATGCATTAAGGTTCCAGAATGAGCAAACTGGCGTAAGCCGAAGATCGCACCCAACATGAAGTTCAACTTCATGATTAAGCTTCTTAACAACTCTACCACTGTGTAAAATCCGTGTTCAAACATAGCAAGATCATAAAAAAAAACTCGTCGAAGATGCAAATATGTAGGATAAATGAAATTAGTTTGTATACAGTTTAAACCTGCTCAGATTTGCTTCAAATATTTGTAGTTAATGTATGTATTGTATGTGATGTTAATGTTGCAAATTGATTCGTATCGACAAAATGCACAATGTGTCTCCTTATTCAGCCATTGATCTATACAAGTTGATGATAGAGATGTTGGCAGCCAGGAAGAAACCTACAATGTTATTCAGTTTCTCCTTCTAGTCCTGTACTGAATTATGGTACCTACCGTGATTGACCTTTAAGTTTCTTCAAGGTTCGAGCTGCTTTTGCATGGTTGTCTTTTGCCGTCTTGTTCAGCTATCGTATAGCTCGATAATCCGAATTTGCGAAAACAAACCATTAACAGAAGAATCATAATCAGTATCACCTTTCATAAATCTATGTTTACTCAAGTTTAGGTTAATATTCTCGTATATTTGAAGGTGTTTCGAGAAAAATAAAGAATCGAAACTGTCATAACCATTTTTAGGTGAAACAATTAAATATTATTTTAAAAAACGATTATGACTTTAATAAAAAATTGGTGATTTTGGATTGATTTGAATTAAATTGAAAATGGAGTCGCCATCGACCTTTGGGTTAGGTAGGTCGAATACCTAAAAACGTCTTTTAAAACAATTTTAAGAAAAATCATTTTTTAGACAAAATTCGGTATGCGTTACCAAAGATTCATTTAAATGGATTCGGGAGTCGGTTACGTGTGGGGAAAGGTAAATACCCCACAACGCCCAAAATTGGTACTGTGTCGCTTACATGTTGTCGTAAAATGGTGGAAATTTCAAATCAAATATAAAGTTAAAATATGATCCGTTTATTGAACATTGATTAATTTGCTTCGAATCAATTAATTAGAGAAAATTCTTTAATTCGAAAAGAAATCTCGAAATTAGCAATCCTCCATTGGGAAAGCTAACTCGTCTATTTCTTATCAATAAAAGAATGTTCCCTCAATCGATAAAGTACGGGTCAAATATAAAATGAATATTGACAGTACAAAAAATAAAATACATAACTTGCATTGATCAATATAAAATAAAAATGAATTAACAATTAACAAACTAAAATTGATTTATTTCAAGTTCCATTTAGTTTGAACGTCGTATTAGATTGTACCACTTCGATCAAGTGATACTTTCTACGCCCGTTCTACAAATTCGCATTCTTGAAACTATTCAGATAACATTAACAGTTTAAGAAATGGAAATAAATATAAAATACAAAATAAAACATACACCACAAATAAAGTTAAACATATTTATTTACATATGACATAAATAAATACATAACATAAAAAGATGTAGATACGATTGACATAAATACAAATCAATATTACAATCACCAAATATAATAATCAAAAAGTAAATAATAAAATTACAAGGACTAACATGGTAAATAAAAACAGAGTAAAAATTAAAAATATTAAACATTTCAGACACTAAAAATAAAAATATCCCCAAACGAAATTTAGGACTAAAATGCAATAAAACATAAACATGAAGGCCGAATAATAATTAAACCTAAATACAACAATGACTAAAAATAAAATACATACGAATGTCATGACCATATTCGAATACCAAAAAAAAAATATACAATGAACTAAAACAGTGACTAAAATGAACCTAAAAGAAAATTTAAGCCTAAATCAAACATTAACCCAATCGAACCCACAAGCCAACATAAAGGACCGAAATGAAAAGGAAGCAAAACAGATGACCAAAATCATAAACCTCATCTAAAATAAAAACTAAGAACAAAGATGGACTAAAATAAAAGGCAACCCAATTTAAAGACTAAAACATAAATGTTAATAAATTCCATTAATATACATACAATGATCAAAATAAAATTAATCACAAATCAATAAACCTGAATAGGCATAAAACCAAACTAATATTACAGAAAATTTAAGGACTGAAATAAACATTTCACAAGTTCCAGGCCTGATATATAAAAATTATCATAAACATCAACACATATATTAGGACGAAAATATAACAAGAAATCAAAAGGAGACTCAAATAGAAAACTGAAACCTAAAAGACTAAATAGGAATTAGACCATACACATGCCAATGGCTAAAATAATATATATTTACAAATATAGTGACCAATGTCAAATATTAATAGAAATAACTTAACAAATAATAAAAGGACTAAAATATAAATAAGGAAACATAAGAATCTGAAATCAAATAAATGAAACTTCATTTAATGGCTACAACAGAACATTACAAATACACGGGGACCTATAGTGCGATTTACCCTAAATATATGAGAAACACGGGTGAGTTTCTCAACCTGCAGGGACTAAACACGCCATTAGCCCTTTAAAACTCTGAAAACACGGGAATGGGGTGCCCAAAACGGCTGCGTTTTGCTCCCCACATTTAAGCCCCCAAAACGGCTTCTCCCCTCACTTTTGCTTCATTCTAACAGACGAAGAGAGAGAGAGAGTTCCAGAGAACTCTCCCAACTCTCTCAAACGACGAGAGAACGGCCACGGTGGCCGGAGGCTCCCACAGCGGGGTCGACGGCTGCGCACGGCGGCCGGAGAAGTGAAACTGAGCCCAAACGAACCCTCTCTTCTCCCTTGAACCAGAACCCTAAACTTTATAGCCTAAAAACCTATCTAGACCCCTAAATCTTAGGTTGTTACCTCTCGAAGCAACAAGAATCCGGCGACTCTTGGTGTTCCCAACCGCTTCGAACCCACGGTGAGATCTTCTCTCTCTCTCTTTCCTTTTGTTTTTATGCTTTGATTTTTTTTCTTTTTCTTCTGTAAAACCCGAATGGTCTCTCTCTTTTTTTGTTATCACCGCCTCTCTCCCTATTCTCTTTGCTTCCTTCCTTTTATCTTGCTTTGCATGTGGTTGATTTTTGCTTCGTTTGGTGAGATGATGATGTCTAGAATAGCCCATGGCTTTCTCTGATTTTGCAAGATATAAATCCCGAATATTTAGGGATTTATTGGTATTTTAATTTGGGGTTTGGTTTTTGGTTGATTTGGTCACTGTAGGTGTCACTGTAGGTGGATGTTCGGTCACTATTCATGCAGGAGAACAGTCGGTGGCGACGGGACATCTCGGCTTGGTGGCTCGGTGATTGGCTCATGGCTGGGAAGCTGAGGAGTTGAAGTCGGCGGCTGCCATTAGGGGATTAGGGTTAAAACCCTAATTTGTTTTAGGGTTTAAAACCCTAATCTGATGGGTTGGTTCAGGGTACTGGGCCATTAGGTTTAGCTAGTTGGGCTCCGGGAATGGACCTTCTGTAATCTGGGCTTAGTGGCCTACAAAAATTGTAATATGTAATTAATAAACATAATAATAATAATAATAATAATAATAAATAATAATATAAATAAAATAATAAAAAAGACCCGGACAAAAACGGGTGTCTACAGCTGCCCCTCT